TCACTACAGGCTGCTGGATTGAGCCCTGAGGTTTCCCCTATGACCCCCCTCTGCTTCCATCACAGTAATGTGCTATGGCTTAGAAATTCCACTAATGCCTGCCCTGCATGCTGCACATTTCTTTCTGGAACACTGTCCTTGTAGAACTTCTTGTGGCTCCTTTCATTCAGGTCCCAGATCACATGCCTCTCTCTTCTTGTCCACCCTATTCAAAATATATCCTGTTGCCCTTTAACCCTACCTTCTTTATTGTCCTTCATGCCAGTTCACCCACCTGGATTTATGCTGCTTGATTACTTCTTGTTGTCCATCCTTTCCTCCAGAATGGAACTCCGTTGAGGGTGGATCCTGCTCACTTGCTCAGCACCTCTGGTGCTCTGTAAAGAGTTGTAGGGATAAATAAATTGATAATGAAGTGAATTCATTTAACTATGGTCCTGTGGCAGGCCCTGAGGACTCAGTCATGGAGCAAGTGCATAAGGAAGGGTCTCTGCCATCAAGGGGTTGGATTGCCATCTTGAGGAGAGGTGATTTCTGGCTCTGTTTGCAGGAGCCTCTGAGTGTCATGGGTGGCCAGTGTAGGTTGGACCAGACTCTTGTCTAAGAAGATAGGTTGAGGGTGAAAGATCTATGGGTCCTAGCAACAAAGAGCTGGATTTGAGGGACCATCTGGGGATTTCTGTCACTCTCTGGTCCCTGGGTCTCAGAGGCTAGGACTGAGGCCCATACTCATGATGAGGGATTTTGGGAATTGTGCTTACAGGGTGGATGAGGTCCAGTTCTTCCAGGTTCAGGCCAGTAAACTCTGATTAGAGAGATGAATGAAGACACAAGAGACAGAGAATATTTTTGTGAGGAAGTCAGGGGTCTTCACTGAAATGAAGCCTCAAACTGACTTAACCGCTTAGTTTTATTGAGAAATGAAGTCATTGTGGTCTGCTGAACACAGGTGCATATTTTAAATTAGGAAGGCATGATGACAACTACGCTGAATTGTTAACTTTATCAAATCATTCTCAGGATGTTTTTCATTTCACCTGCAAGGCTTGCCTTGTCTTCAAGTTGTTCCCATCCCTCAGGGTTAGCAGTTTTCTGTGCCCCTGAGGCAACTCCAGCAAGTGCAAGAAACTCCACACAGTTCCTACTGGTGCTAGAATCAGGAAGAAAACTGGCCTGATTCCACAAAGGGGAACTCAAGCTGCACCCATGGCTCAGCCTAGGGGAGCCCTGTGGGTACTTTGGCTCCCCTCAGCCCATCCACGGGAGAACTCCAATGTTTCCACTTCTCCTACAGCCTCCCAGTCTCACAAGACAGGCTACCCACAGCTTCCCACCTCCTGCAATCAAACCAGAGAAGTATCCTCCTTCTCTGTAGATGGCATGATTGGAGCTGAAGAACAGGTGCATAAGCCCAGGAGATAACATACTTTCTCCAGAAAACCTTCTCTGGCTTCCTTCTTTCCCTTATTCCACAGCACATATCCTCCTTTTATTTTATATATTCATGGATTTACCATCCATTCATCCATCCATCCAACCAACCATTTGTATATACAACCATTGACCCATGTATTCATTGTCCACCTGACACACTTTCCCTGAAAACTCTGCTATATTCACTGCTATGCTCTTGGCACTTATTCATAGTACTGAAAAAGGATGTGGTCCTTGCCCTCTCAGGCTTGAAGTCTAATAAGGGGAAGGGTCCCTATGTAACTAATTTCAAATTAAAACTTTAACACATCTATGATAAATGCTATGTTAGAGAAGTAGCAGAATCCACATGGGAGTGTCAGGATAGGCTTTCCTAAGGAAGGAAGTTTTGCCCCAGACCAGGATGTTCAATTGCTAGCTAGCAGCCGTATGTGGCTATGGAATGTTTGAAAAGTGATTAGCACCACTGAGCAACTGAATTTTAAATTTTATTTGATTTTAATAAATTGAAATTAAAATTTAAAAACTAAAGCAGTATAAGGGTTGTGTTTCTGTTTGTTCAACAAAACTTTATTGCTTGGCAGGACAACATTTTCACTTTGTAGGAAATTCAAAGACTAAAAAAAAAAATCATGTATGTGGTGATACTTGCCTGTAATGGGACATGACTATAATCATAGCACTGGAGAGGCTGAGGCAGGAGTTCAAGGCCAGCCTGGGCTACACAATGAGTATGACAGCCTGAACTGCATGGCAAGACCCTGTCTCAAAAAAACAAAACAAAACAAAACAAAAAACATATGTAGAATATCACAGCATTTTTATTGTTTGAATGTTGAAATGATATAACAATATTGGATTAAATATTAGTAAATAATAATTTCACCTATCTTTTAATCTTTTAAAAGTAGGTTCTGGAAAATCTAAAACTCTATATGTGTCTTGCACTATGTATCTAGACAGAGCTGAACCAAATATAGGATTCAGAGGCCAAATTAACCAGGGAGAGGAGATATGAGGGGGTTGGAGAAGGTCATACTTGTTAGGATGGAAACTCGCATAATAGCTCCTAGTTTATAAACAAGAGTTCAGATTCTATGTGCATAAGATTCAAATAATAGTAGGTAGACATCATCATACTCTTGCCACAGATACAGAAATGGAGGTTTGGGGAGGTCAAAAGAGTTGACTACAGCTCTGTGCCAAGTAACCCTTAGGTTGAATAGTTGAACTTGGCAGAGGTACCCATCTGCATTGTCTTTATTTATCTCTCTGTACACTGCTTTCAATACAACTATCAAATTTCTCTTTCCTGCTCCTCTCTGGTTCCTCCGATATTGCTGGTCATTTCTGGGCACTTGCAGAGATGTGCTCCATAATGCTGAATAAATGGATGACAATGAATGGATAATTTTACCAAACTTTAGGAAATAGCTGTTCTATGTCAGGGCCTGTTTAAGGCCCAGGCCTAACTAGTCCAGTGTAAAACACCAACATCATCTTCAGTTTAGCACCTACGTCCTCCCCTCAACTTGCCCAATGCTGTCCTGGATCCCTGCTGATAAATCTGATGGGGGTTCAGGTGAGGTATTTTTCATTCCTTCTTCCTTCCCTGTTGAGGTCCCCACTGTCCTCTGGTGTGGCAAGTTCTGGAAGGGGAGAAGGGTGAACCTCTCCTCAGCAGCGCTTTGCTCACTGGGGCTGGAGTGGAGAAGCAGCAGCCTTGGGGGCACAGGTGAGAGCCTGTAAAAGTGAAATAGCAAATCTCTGCATTTAATTGAATTAGCTCATTATCATTAGTCCAAGAGGATGGAATGCACTTATCAGGGGCCTCAGAGACAAAGCTTTAATTAACACTAGTGGGTCAGTCTGTATTCACACTCATGAGAGACTGGCCCCATTCAATGCTTGAACAAAGAAGATATACATTCTAGGAGGGGGTGTTTCAAGTGAGGCAACTTGGGTATACATTCATTGGTAACAGAAATTGAATATGCATCAATAAGTGGACTCAGTCATGTTATTGGCTTATACATAATACTGGTAACATGCTTGTTGGGTGATTTAAGGTACAAGGTCTATCTCATCTGTATTCTGGTGAAATGGCAAAACTCTTCTGGAGACAAAGACATTCCTGAGATGAGGAAGTTGGCTTGGACATGTCCAGGCATGTGATGCAGGGCAGGCCTGGACATGATGAACAAAGAAAAATTTCAGGTAGGGAGTCCATCTTAAACTACAGAAGCAAAATTTCTGTGCAAAATTCCCTTTCAAGAGGGCCCTACATGTGCACATGTGTGTGTGCTTATGTGTTGGAATGCGCCCTGTATAGTCTCTCTCCCCCAGAAACTGGTGCCTCTCTACAGCTCTGATATTACAATTTGTGCATAGGTTTTGCTTCCAGAGGAGCCAAAGACCGGAAGTTCTAGGCTTGGTCTCTATTCTCCATTGCAATCTCTCTCTCTTTCTCTCTCTTGCTCTGTCTCTCCCTCTCCTTCTCCATCCCCGCCTCTTTAAAGTAAAAGAAGACCATTTATTTGGTGGGTGGGGAAAGGGGGGGGAAAGAGAGAGGAAAATACTCCTGGTAGGCCTCTTAAAGGACCTTTCCCCCTTGCCAATTTGCATAGAGGAAGTTCAGGCTGATCTCCTGCCACATCTCTTTTCAGTTCCCCTTTCTCTTGCTCAGGGGAGCATGAAGCTAGACCAACAAATCTATGTCTACTGCATAGAGAACGAGCAGCGGAATTTATCCAGCACTGGTCTCTAGGAGTTTTCTTGCAGATCCAAGGGGCAGCTGCATAACACCCTTCTGCCACCACACCTTGGCTGATAACCTTTCACACTTCTCTGTATTAGCTGAATGCGCACACCACAAGAGCTGGGAGGTTGGGTGGGGAGGCTCAGTGTGCTGTTTCATCTTCAGTCCTGGGGATGTACCCAAGGGTCCCTCATTATTATGCAGTTCTTATTGTACCCAGCACAAACCCAGGATTGAGTTTCAAAGTCCACGCTCTAGCCAGATGTGGTGGTGCACACCTGTAATTTCCCTACTCTGGGAGGCTGCAGCAGGAAGACTGTAAGTTTGAGCCCATTTTGAGAGATTTAGCAATTTAGTGAGCCCTTGTCTCAAAATAAAAGAAACTAAAAAAGGTCTTGGGATGCAGCTCAGTGTGAAGACTCTGGGTTCAGTCCCTGGAACTGAGGGTGCTGGGGGGTATGTGGAGAAAAGAATGTGCACCTTCTGTCTTTGGTCATATTTGTCCAGGCTCAGTTCACCAGCCTTACTGGGACCACCACTGATCCATTCTCTATTCCCAGAAGCTGTCCTTTGGGTATACTCTCTCAACATGGAGGAACCCCCGGGAGAGAGGACCCCCAATTCTCATTGCATCAGGGCCAGCTCTGTGGCTGGAAGCTACAGGTGGAGCTCAGACCCTCCTTTGTCTGGCCTATAAGCACCAGATAGCAGCAGCCCTACCAGAAGCAGCACTGCCCCCCTAACTGTGGGTTAGGAGTTTGGGTGGACCGTTTTCCACAGTGACCACTTCTCTTACTCTGGTTCACAGCTCTGCTCCAGGCCTGGTTGGGGGATGGGAAGCAGGAGGTATAAGGAGGCCCCAGGCTGTCAAAAGACTAGGCGGTGGCTTCCAGGCTCATCAGAGCTTCACGCAGGTTTTCGCGGGCTCAGATCAGGGACACAGTGGACTTCTGAGCATGTTTCCTATACCTGGGCAGGTCCTGCACCCCCTCATTGCCATTCTCCTGCTGCAACTCACAGGTGAGTCCTGATTCCTGCCCACCAGACCCTCAGAGTGGGCAGAGAGCCCTGGGGGATTGCCAAGCACAGCTCCCTGTGTTTCAGGTGGGCAACAGGCCTGGAGGGCATGGCTGAGCCCTTTCCTTCTCACCAGGTGTTGTTTTGCTTCGCTTCCTCCATGTGTACCCTGTGGGTAAAGGGAGATGGTGGGAGCTTAGAGGTCAGAGGAGACATGACACAGAGGAGGGCAATGGGGGAGGTCAGGTGGTGAAAGAGGAGCCTGGTTTCCCTGATGGCAATTCTGGCCTGAGTCAGTGAGTGTGTGCAGGCAGAAAGAGTAGAGGTGAGATAAATGCCCCAGGTGATGAGTCCTGGACTCTAAGTTCACACTAACCCACTCATCCCTTTTCACTGAAAGGCTATGTAGTCTTGAGCAAGTCACTAAGTCTTTGAGTGCGTCTGCCCTTTAAGGAAGTAGAACTGTGGGAAAAATGAGTACATATACCTGAAAGTGCTTTATAAACCACAGAAGGCTGTCATCAGGTGGGGGTTAAGGAGGGAGCATGACACCTGAACACCAGAACTATGGGCTAAGAGGACACAGGTCCATGGTCTTCCTGAGCTGCCTCTCATGGCCCTGTGCTGTCATTGCTGGTACCTGTGTCTGTCTTCTACTCTTCCTGCCTGACCAGAGACTCCTTGAGAGCCAGAGTCCTGTGTTTGTGTCCTCAGCACCCAGCTCACAGACTGATGGTGAGCAGAGGTTTGAGGTGCAGCAAAATCTTAGAGAGACCATGCTGTACATGTCTGATAGGCTGTCCTGAGGAAAAGGGACAACTCTTGCCGTGCAGTTTTCCTGGGATGACTCCAGGCAATTCTAGCCTAGTAAGGGAAGCGCTGAGGTTAGAAGCAGAAATTACTTTGTCATAGTCCTAGCTGTATGAGGATGAATGAAGCTTCTTGGGGTGGAAAGAACTCCATATCACTGGAGGTGAGTAAATGGAGAAGGGATGCCTTGTGAGATGTTGATAGGAGGAACCTGACTGGGAGGTTCAACCATCCTTGTTCACTTCATACTTAAGTCATTATAAACTTATATCCACAATGGACATTGTGACTGTTGGCCAGTCCCTTCCCTACTTGGTTGTTGTTCATGTCTCTTCTTCTCAATAATACAGCCACCGTCCACCCAGATGCTCAACAGAAAAATCTGGGGATTATTGACTAAAATTTCTTCTACCTCTCATGTCTCGTCCAGCCCACTGCTATATTATAGGCCAGATCTTCCAAGTGTATCTCTAGTTTTTCTGTTTCTCGTCACCCTAGGCCAGGCCACTGTCACTTCTCCTTCTCTGATAGGCTCCCTGCTCCTTTCCCACCACCCTCCTTGCTGGCCTCCATACAGTCTTCTAAAAATGCAAATAAGCCTGCCATGCACCTGTTTAAAGTCTCTGTGGAGTGGCTGTTGATCACACAGGATGTAATCACAGTTGTTACCATGTCCCACAAGTCTCCTCTCCATCAAGGCCTCTTACCCACCATGCCCAAGTTCTATAGTCCTCTTGGATTCTTGGGTCTTCTAAGCTCTTCCCACTGGAGCCCTTTCTTACCTGCTTTTCCTGCCATCAAGGATGTTCTTCATGGGCCCTTTCACACAGCTGTTTCCTATTCCTTTCTCACTTTTAGCTTAAAATATCTTTCTCTTATCACATTTCCAGAATGAGACTTTCTGGCATCTCTGTGTTCTTTGGGTTTCTAAAGACACTGAGCCCCAGGTATGATTGAATCTGTATCTGCTGTTTACTTGTTGTCTCTGTGAACTCCCTGAGGCTGGTACCAAGCACATGACAGGTAGTAGGTCCACAGGGCCTTTATACCATGTGTGTATCTTACAATTTGAGTCCTGGATGCATCCCACTTTCAGTGTATGGTTATAGTCATTGTCTTTTGCAGCTGGGCATCCCTTCATCTCTCTGATGGGCCCATCTCAGAGGGTAATCCCAGAAATATCAGAACCTTTCAACTGCACTGCTGGCCCCTTCAGCTCTGAAGACTTTAACATCACCTGGTTTAAGAACAGTGATGAACATCCAGCCTCAGCCCAGTACCTGGTGGCTGACAACAAAGGCAATTACTCCATCACCAGCAAGGCATGGGTGACCCTGACTAGAGACGATGTCTTGTCTCAGATCACCTGTGAAGTCGCTCACGGGGACCTTGATGAGCCCTTGCGGATGACCATGAACCTCTCCCAAATGCTCTACAGTGAGTGGGCTGTACAGTATGTTTGTATATCTTGGCATCACTGGCTTTTGGGTTTTTGCCTAAAGCCTTATTTAACAAACAGGGATCTGAAATTCCACATCACTACCCCTTACCACATATAAAGAGATTAAAAAACAGCTTCCAGGGGCCAGGGCTCAGCTCAGTGGTTCGGTGTCCTGCCTTGCAAGTGCAAGGACCTGAGTTCAATCCCTGGTACCAAGAAAAACAAAAACAAAAACAGCTTCCAGAGGCTAGCCGTGCACCTCGGTTTTAGTACTAGCTGGGCCACTTCACAAGTTGTTTGATTCTGGGCACATTTCTTAACTGTTCTATGCTTCTGTTTCCTTGTAAAGTAGGAATAAAATGAAGACCTACTTTGTAGATTTTTTCTGAAGACCAAATGGATCCTTCCTTATATAACACATAGAACCATGCCTAGCTCACAGCAACCTGCTCATGAGTATCTGATCTTGTTATTACTGGCTCCAGTCTCCCTTTTTTTCTCCAGTCTACTATCTTTGTTCAATTACTATAAGGTATGATAAAAATACAGTGAATATTTAAATTAAAAATTTATTACAGTAAAAGACACATTGCTATTAGTCCCCCTCAAGACACTTACCCTTCTTTCAATCACACTTATTGCATTACTCTTGCTACTTTCTGAAGCAGTTATGGAAGTCTTCATTTGTGTCTTTATGAGGTGTAATTAAAAAAATATGGTGAATGCTACTGTCAAGTGTCATTCAATGGAAAAGTATGCGTGTGAAAACATTGTGGTGTATTCTCATCCACCTTATTTGTTGGTCCTGGCACCATGCAATTTCTGGCCTTCTTCAAAGTCAAAATGAAAGAACTTTGAGAACTGCTTTAGAAAGTGGCAAGAATGATTGGCCAAGTGTTTTTGAAGTGAGGGGAGTATTTTGAGGGGCACTAATGGAAATCTATCTCTTACTATAATACATTAAAATTGTAAATATTTACCATATTTTTCAATCACACTGCATATCACTACTATTACTTTTAAATTCTAAATATTCATTCAATAAGTAATGAATATCTGCTGTGTGGCAGGTACTGTTCTAGTTGCTGTAGATATAGTAATGAGCAATATTAAGTCCCTGTCCTCATGGCATTATATTTGAATACATTTTACAATTATACTTCATCATACAAAACATTTAAAACATACAGAAAAGAATATACTAAACACTCATGTGTCCCCACCCACCATATTTAATAGATATTAATACTGTCACTGTTTTCCTTACAGTGAGTATAGAAAGAGTGAGAGATCTTGAGGCTGGTCCCTGGGATGGGGAAACTCAGGGTGGGCCAGGCAGGCAGGGGCTAATTTCACCAGCTTAGTGTCTGTTCCTCTGTCTAGTTATCCCCTCCTTGAATATCACCAAATCCTCTGAGACCCATCACCACCAGCATCAGAAAGTGAACCTCACTTGTCATGTGAGCCACTTCTACCCTTCCCACCTGAAGCTCATCTGGATGAAAAACGGGCACAAGATCCTGGAGGAATTCCCTGAGGTCACAAGCAATCTGGATGGGACGTATTCCCTGGAGCACATGCTGCTGGAAGAGGCCACACTGGATGGGTGTGAGTTTGCCTGCTGGGTGGTCCAGGGTGACCAGGTCCCAGTCAAGGCAGTCATCAATGTGCAGGCCTCTAGCAAGAACAACGGTAGGTGCAGCTCTGGCCCAGCCCCTCTGGATGGCAGAGTGAAGGCCAGGGGCTGAGAGTAGCTCTGGATGAAGGTGGATGAAGGCAGGATGCCCTAGATGATGAGAAAATTCTCACTCACTCCCAAACTGTGCTCCCCCTACCTTCACCACACTCTACCAGGAAGGAGTTGTCTATCCTCCCCCATTCCATGCACTCTTCACACGGCAAGTTCTCCACCTTAACACTTGACTAGGAGACAATTTAAGGATGGCTGGGCACCAGTCCTTTCTAGGAAGGCTGTTAAGGCTGGTTCAGTTGAAGTTTCTGGAAGTTGGCTTTAAAGAGAGTCCAGAGCCTTGACTACCTTGGATGAGAAAAAGGGTGGCTGCAGGCCTTCACATAGGGTGGGTGTACTTTCTCCTACTTCTTGTCCTCCTGTTTCCACTCTTCATTCCCTTTCCCTCCACCTTCTAACTTCAATTTCCTCCCATCTTTTGTGGCCAAAGACAATTTTTTCCACCAGGAGCACTACCCACTGGCAGTTCAGACTGAGATGGGCTAGAGCTGCCTTCTTCTCACTCTGATCCGCTTTGAAGGATGAAGTACTACTGGCCAGGAGGGGCTGAGGGGTGCCTGTACATAGTGATGGGAGATATGATGACTGGGCAGGCATGTGCAAGCCCAGGGAAAGCCAGCATGCCTGGCAACAGCTGTCCAGAGTTGCATGAATCGGGGAAGGAGCTTTTCCTCCCTACCTTGTGCATCTGCATAGTGTAGTGAACAGCTCGGGTGCACTGCAGACACAGGGTAGACCAGTGTGATCTTTATAGAAGGAGGCTTCCACTTTGCCCTCTCTTTTTCCCAGACAGAATTGGCCTTTATCTGCTTCCTGTAGGAATTCTCAGGGTAATGATCTCATTCACCTTTAAATTTCTCCATTTTTTCCCTTTCCCCAATTTTTTTTGATGTCCAGCAGAAAAAACGTCCACCCAGTAAGGTGTATAGATCAGGATGAAAAACTTCAAACTATTCCTTTCTGATGATAAGCAAGTTGCATTAGTAATGTATTGACTCATGCTGAGTTTTTCCATCTCTGTTGTATTATTCTCCTTCACCTGATTACAGTATTTCTGGCCTGTGGATGCAGAATGAACCCCCAAAGCTTCACTTTGATGATATTGCTACCTACATGGCTGTATGAGACTCAGGGATGCAGGGGGAAGGTAGCCTTCTCTTCAAATATTCAGGCCTCTTTCTAATGGCATTAGCACATCTTTGAGGGGGAGCCTCTTCAAGCCACTCCAAAAGACTTTTCATCAGTACCCCAGCCCTTGTATGCTCATACCCCATACCCTGTTCCTATTTGGCTAACAGTCATGGAACACTTACTCTGTACCAGGCATCCACACTCACGTGACTGGATCCTATGACAGGTAGAAGGTAGCACTGGGACTAAGATCTCCAAGGACTTAGCATTTTAGGATAGCTTAGGATGCAGCTAACTGTTCAGAAATTCAGTGTGTTTTCCTGTAATTTTGTCTTCTATCCTGCCAGAGAATACAAATCTTGATGTTTTCTTAAGCCTCTTCTCAAATCTGCTTCTTAAATACTCTATTTCTGATTTTTATTTCTCCTGAACTGTCACATCTGTCTCCACCATTCAGTCTCCACAGTTGGTGCTTAAACTATGGGGCTTCTTGAAAGGTTTTATCATACCACAAACAGCTCCCCATTGTCCTTGGAACAGGGACATTCCCTTATGCTTGGAAGTGGCCACATTTTGGAGTTGTAGGGACCAGTGTCACACTGTAGCACTTTCACTGCCCATCTGTGTGACCTCAGGCAAAGCAGTTCTCTTTCTGAGTCATTTCTTCCTCTGTGCAGGGATGATCACTATTCCTACCTTTCTGGGACCCACTGAGGTTTGCTTTCCTTGATTCCTACATGAGATCTAGACAGTGGGACACACAGTAAGGGCTCTGCAATGATTGAGTACAATCCCCATAGTACCCAGAAAGTTAAAGATAATTATCAGTATAAAGCCAGCAGCGGCACCATGATATAGCAGAAAAACCCTCAGCTTGAGTTCAGAATTTCCATGCTCCATCATCAGTTCTGTTCTCCATGAATCCACTAGCCAAGTCCCTAACCCTGTCTGAGCCTTTTTTGTCTCTGTTCACATTAAAAATGGAATGAAGAACAATTCCACAGATGGTCCTTGTGAGTATATGATGCTGATGGCTGCCATTTGTGGAGTCATTAGCATGCACCACATATTCTACACCAGCTCCTTTACTTAATTAATTTTTTTCTTTGTTTTTTGTTTTTTTAGTACTGGGGATTGAATTCAGCACCTTGGGCTTGCAAGGCAGGCATCAGAATCACTGAGCAAATCCCCGGCCCTCCTTTACTTAATTTATTTACTGAGAATTAAGGATCATTTCCATTTTACAAATACAGTGGACCCTTGAGTCACAACAAGCCCAATATAGGAGCAACTTGGGTTATGACCAGAATTTTAGTTTTAATTTACAACCAGAGTCTAGAGTTATGACCCAAATGCCAGCTGCTTATGCTTTCAGATGGTCTCAGATACAGATTTAACCCTGACACAGTTTTGGAAGGAACATTACAACATTCTTTCTTATGTGGAGTTACATGAGAAATCCTGGGCCAATGTCTCCCTAAGGACATTGAAATCAACCTGTATACAAGAGAGAGAGAGACTTTGAAGGCTGTGTAGAGGAGTCTGACCCTTCAATTGACCAAGTTACAACCAGCCCTTGGGAATGAATTAAGTTTGTAAATCAAGGGTCCACTGTAAGGGATTGAGTCTTAGTTAAGTTGTTCAGATTCACCCAGGGGAGGTTTGGGAATGCAAAGTTGGGCTGAGTGGGCCCCCAAAACCCATACTCTAACCTCTTCCCATGACCTACCTGTGAAAAGTGAGGAAGCTCCCCTTTTAAGGACCAAGGACAGGGCTGAAGGGTGGTGAGGGCATGGACTCTGGGAGCAGACTGCCTGGCCAGAACCTGTGGCTCTGGTGTGGACTAGCTTTGGGCCTGAACAGATACTCAGCCTACCTGGGCATCAGTTTCCTCATCTATATAATGGGATTGGTTCCCCAGGTTTGCTGTGAGAACTCAGGGCATTGGGGAAGAGCCCATGAACAGGATGTGATATGGGAGTTTGCTGTATGATACTGGCCTCACTACAGACTGCATAGTCCCTTGTGGCTCCCTGTCCAGCCTCTGACAGCAGCTTCAGTTGGTGCCTCTCATCAGGGACTATTCAAGCCCTGTGGAAGGGGAGCAGCAGAAATTCTGAAGACTCATTTACATAGGGATTCAAGCAACTATAGCATGGGCTCATAAGGATCTCTCCTTGCAGGAAGGATGTCAACAGAACGGATCTCTGGCAACTTGGAAGGCCCGCAGCAACGTTTTGAGCCAGGCACAAGCATCCAACTGACATACACATTATCCAGGTTACGCAAAAATCATGTTGTGGTGACCTGCCTCAAAAACAACCACAAACTCCCCAAGCCCCAGACCAAGTTTCTCCCTATTGGAGATACCTATAATGTCACCAGCACTGTATCTGTCCCACTGACCAAAGATGATGTGTTCTCCTTTGTCCACTGCAAGGTCAAGCAGAATTCCACACTGATTTTCCAGAAAAACATCAGCCTGAGCCAGTATCTCCGTGGTAAGAGCTTTCTCTTTGGCTGAGTCAGTGAAGAGTTGGGCTGGGGGCTCTGTCAGTTTTTCTCACTGAGAAATGCCTTCACTTGGTTGTGCAAGGGTTCAATAATTAACACCTGTAAAGTACTCAGTCCAGTGTCTATGCCGTACTGACCACACATAGTTGTGTTTGTTGTTGTTGTTGTTTTTTTTTTTTTGTACCAGAGATTGAACTCGGGTCCTTGCACTGGCAAGGCAGGCCACTGAACCACTGAGCTAAATCCGCAGCCCTGTTGTTTTTTATTATTCACATTAACTCTCAGAAATCACCACCTTCATTTGTAAAAATGGAGACAAAATATCTTCTAGAGATTTAATTTTAATATTTATAGGAAGGGCTTTGTGAACCTCTAAATTTTAGAGATTATGATGGTTTTAGATTATTCTACTGGATATGGATATAATTTTGTTTGTTTTTTTGTTTTGCTTTCTTGGTTTTCCTGGACTAGACCAATGTTTGGCAGATTAAAAGCAGTAAAGTCATAAAGTATCATGCCTAGAAAGAATCTTAGTGATCATCTCAGTGTTTCTGACAATTCTAAAGCCCTGAGAAGTCAAGTGGATATGCAAGTGGGTTGCAGAAGTCAAGTGGGTTATGTAGCAGTAAAATGAAATCTTTAAAGCATATTGGATTTTAAAATTTACAATTTTTTTTTTTTTTTTTTTTTTTTTTTTTGTACCAGGGATTGAACTTGGGTTCTTGTGCTTGCAAGACAGG